CACTGGGCTCAATAAAAAAGTAAACCTATTAAAGTTGGAGATTACCCCATGCACTGCGGCAGCTTGTTTAACTTAACCAACCAAGGAATGGCTTTTTTTTTTGTGGAGTAAAAGTCCCAAAGCCAAACTGTCTTTTTTTCCTGTCCCCTTTTGGGATCATATAAAACTGCTGCCTTTCTGCCTTGCTAATCGCACATGTGTTGAACAACAAGATGTAATCTTATGTCTTGCCATTTATAAGAAACATTTTTCCATTCCTGGAATGGCTATTTGATTGTTTTCACCCTATGCTTATTACATCTGAACAACTTCAAGTATTTTGCTTTTATGATTTGTACATTGGCTTTTCAATTGAAAGTTTTGAGTGGCTATAACTCTACATTGCAACTTCTGACTATGCAACCAATGCTGATGTATTTTTATAACTGTACTGAGTTCTTTTCTAATTTTCTTTTTTAATTAAAGGGATAATATACTTTCAGAATATGCTCACACTGAAATGAATAAAGGAGCTAAAACAGGGGAGGGCAATAATTTTTGATGGGGGGCACTCCAAGATTTTGGAAAGTGGTTGAGGGCTACACTCTTCCATGATATTAATGGAGGAGATGTGAGGTCTGGGATGGAGGTTGAGTGCAGAAGGGAGCTTGAGGTAAGGGATTGGGCTGCAGGAGGGAGAATGGAGTCTGGGAAGGTGTTTGGATGAAGGAGGCGGTTGTGACCTAGGGCAGGGGACTGGAGTGCAGGGGTTTGGGATGTGACCTAGGGTAGGAGGGGATTGTGATCTGGGGCAGGAGATTTGGGTACCAGATATGAGAAGGGGTATAGGTGCAAGAGGGGGGCAGAAGGTTTGGGTATGTTGATTGGGGGAGAGAGTTGGGTAAGGGAAGGGGCTGGGGTGCCAGAGGCAGGCTCTGGACAGGAGACTTACCAGCCTGCAGCCAAACCGCCCTGCCCTGCCTGCAGAGCTTAAATGTTTCTCTGCCTGCCCACCCTGCACCTGTACAGGCTGCACAGCCATGTGCTTGTGTGAATAACTGAGCTGAGGAGAGGGGGTGTGGTTCTTCTTGGCTGCCTGTTGTTCAAGCTGGCAGCTCCCATTGGCAAGCTTCTGGCCAGAAAAATGGGATTGTGCTGGGAGCAGTGGCAGCTCCTGAAGCTTTCCCTCCCTTCCAGTTTTGAAACACAAACGGGGTCCAGTAGCCACATTTCTGAGTGGCATGTGGGGCAAGCAGGGGAGCCTGTCTGGGGCTCCCTGCTGCCTCCATGGGCCAGATACAGTGGCGTGGTGGGCCAGATGTGGCCCACAGGCCATATTTTGCCCAGGCCTGAGGTGGCATGTCATTCTTCATTTGATTTTCACTTATGCAGAATACTTCCCCTTAGAACTCAAAGCAAACCACTGAAATATGCAACTGAACCAGACACAAAATGCCAAAACATTCAGGAAAAGGTGAGTGAGAGGATGGGAAATCCTTCATTGAAAAATGCCTTCCCTGCAAACCCTTGTCTGCAGCAGTCAAAATTTGGTTGGATGAACTGTCCATCTGTGGCTGAAAAGCCACAACGTAGCAAACAACAATGCTCAGTACCAGGAGCTATCTTCTTTTTGTGTTTTATATAGGACCAAACACATGGGTCAGGGCTAAACAAATAACACAGAGTGCAACATGCTCCACGACCCTTTATCCCTATGAGCCCTGAGAGATAGGGAAAGTAAGGTGCCAAAGGTGCCTTTTTTTTATGTTTTTGTTTCACTGTAAACCTGTGAAGACTTCACCATTTCAATGGGTTTTGTTTTAGTAAGTCCTTTTCAAGTAATATCTTAAAATGCACTGAGCTCAGACTAGGAGTGTTGCCTGAACTGTTTTCTTGACTTGCTTTTACCCTTTTCCAGTAGTTGCCCTTTTGTGTTAAAATTTCTCCTTTGGCTCTGAATGAGGAAGGCAAAGTTTAAAGAAAAATCCAGGGTCACTTTTAAATAATCAAATGGGAAGGGCAAATATTTTTGAGTGAACATTTTAATACAAACTGTCAACATGCCCTGTAATAGCCAAATCAATATACTGATAATAAGCTCAAAGGAAAAGACACAGTTGGTCACAAATGTCTAATTTTATTTAAGTACAATCTTATTTATTAAAAAATACAAACTCAGATTGATGCTGTTGGAGATGCCAAGCCTCTTGTGCCACAGGCTGTACCTTTTCTCTAATTTCATTTTCCCTTCCGTGGGGTGATCACCTCTTGGGGTTTATTAGCCTCATAAATGAGTGGTCTGGACAGACTAATTCTTCCCCTAACTAGCTGACTTCTGGTGCAGGAGTAATTTGCACACTGGTGTGTGACAGAGTGAATGCTTAAAGGTCTTTATTGTCACAGGGCAGATCCTGGATTAGCAAAAATATTGACTTAAACCAGTAATTAGAGTACTAGAGTGTGTGGGTTGATGTGAGCGGAGAAAGGGGACTGCATATAACCCTGGGTAAAGTGGAAACATAATTTTAAAATGGTGAATGTACCCACTTAGCAGAATAAGGTGGGAATCAGAGGTTAGAGAGGAGAGTTATAGAAAGCTATAGCAGGCTTATAAACCACAGAAATTGAAGTATTGTTTCATAAATGGTAATACAGCTGCCAATTTTGACTTCAAGAACGCTTCTGTCAAGTCAGACATACTAACAAAGCTGCATGTTAGCCAAGCTGTTGCTAATTAGGCTGGCAGAGAAAAGAGGTCAGGACACATTGGCAGGAATATTAAAGAGAATAAAACTACACAGAACAACTCCATATACTAAAGAGAATAAAACTTCTCCAGGACCATTTATAGCAATCTACTATGTAAATTTTTCTAGGTCTCTTCAGTATGCTCAACTCAATTGTGAAGCAGAGAACATGTAACCTGAAGAGTAATGCACTGCTTATAAAATCTTGTCATATTGATACTATATTTTTTTAAAACTTGCCATTGCAATAGTTAAATGTCCAATAATGCCTTTCGCACCAATGTCTGTAGATGGGGAAGATGCTGTTGAAAGAGTAGTTCCATTGCAATTGCTACAGTCTACTGTGATGTAGTATCAAAGTTAGTTAGATTTACAGTTCTGCTGTGACCTCTACTCTTACATTTATATGTGCCAGTGAGTAAGAGGAACCAAATTCTTCATGGTTTGTATGTGAGTTTAGAATGAGAAAAAACAGCAGCAGAGTTTATTTCTGGATAAGACAGCTTTTCTCTCTAAGTTCTACTCTATAACTTGGTTGATTGACTACAGAGAAGTAGCATACTTAGTTAAGGGTATTGTTTGTTTGGGTGGTACATTGATTTGTTCTTTGAGTATATTAGTTTTCTTTTTAATATTAGACTGTATATTATTGAGGGAGACCCTACATGCATCCAGGCACATCAGCCAATTCATGTGGCCAAGAAACTAGCATCCCCTTGACATATCTCAGGTCACAGAGGAAAAGTCCACAGTACTTAGTTTTACAAT